AACTGAACTGCCCAGTGATAAGGGCACTGCTTCAAAAGTGGTCTCCTGGACTCTCTAGTCTCCATCTTCTTCACCAACATCTTTACTTTTTCCCCACTCTCAAGGAAAATATGCACACCCTGAGTCCCTCCACTTCTTTTCTCTCTCACCCTTAATAGAAAACTATCACCTTTATTTTACTGAACTTCCCTGGTGGCTCAGCTGTAAAGAATCTGCCTGCTGATGCAGGAGATGCGGGTTTGATCCCTGGGTTGGGAAGAGTCCCAAGAGATGGAAATGGCAACCCACTCCAATATTCCTGCCTGGGAAACTCTATGGACAGAGGAGTCTGGCAGGCTACGGTCCATGAGATCTCAAAGAGTCGGAAACATCTGAGCAACTAAACAACAACGATTTGTATTATAATTGCAGCATTATCATTTTTGAAGATTTCATAAAGCAAATATAACTTCACCTACATTTTGAGTTAAGTGAATTGAGTAGATTGCTCCTGCAACCTGAGTCAGTGGGAAAACCTGCCCAATGTTTCAAAACCGTAATTCACAATGAACCTTTGTAAGCCAGCCTCTTGCCAGCTGAGGATGCTCTGTGTCTATATAAACAGTCCTCCTTACACAATCCCTATGTGCTTGCCCTTGTATGTCTCATGAATATGGGGAAGCATGCTGTGGTCAGGTCAAGAAAGGAATGAGTAAGCAATCCTGAAAGAAGGAACACACTGTAAGGGAGACTTGCACATTTGAGCAAAATCAGAGACAGCTTATTAACAGGCTTCCTTCAATGAAATAAATTATAAAGCCTCTGAGGTTTTAAAAGTGAACAGCTCTAGAAAGAAATTATAATTAAATAAGTCCAGAATATCTCACCTGTTTGTTTCCCTCCTTGAACTAAGCTGTTCCATAGCATAGCCACTGGACACTTGTGGCCATTTAAATTAAAGCTAAATAAAATTTAGGATTTAGTTTCTCAGTGATGCTAGTCACATTTCAAAAACTCCGTGGTTAGTCAGTGGTCATTTCAGTTCAATTCAGTTCAGTCGCTCCGTCGTGTCCATGAAATTAAAAGATGCTTACTCCTTGGAAGGAAAGTTATGACCAACCTAGACAGCATATTGAAAAGCAGAGACATTTGTTTGCCAACAAAGGTCCATCTAGTCAAAGCTATGGTTTTTCCAGTGGTCATGTATGGATGTGAGAGTTGGACTATAAAGAAAGCTGAGCATTTGGAACTAGTCTGTTGGTCCATGTCCAATTCTAACTGTTGCTTCCTGACCTGCATACAGGTTTCTCAAGAGGCAGGTCAGGTGGTCTAGTATTCCCATCTCTTTCAGAATTTTCCACAGTTCATTGGTCAGTGGCTACCATATTGGACAACACAGGTATAGAACATCTCAATCATCAGAGAAAGTCCAATTAAACAGCACTGCTCTAGAATTCTTGCCTGATTTTGAACTTTTTCAAGCTCACCAATTGCCTAAACATGGACAAAAAGACTTTATTAAGCAGAGACCAGAAAATGATGTCAAAGAAGCTCATTCAATACTAAAGGAAAAAGAAAGAGAACTTATTGTAGACCATAACAAAGGAATAAAGAGAGTCACCTTCAAAGTAAAGTTTTCTGATATTTCAAGTTAAAAAAAAAAGAAGGTTGATACAACTTCAGAGATCCTGGCTTCCTTTCCTACCCTGAAGAGTGAGTTCCCTCTACCTGGGCCCCTCTGAGCTAATGTATACCAAAATTTTTTTCTGACCCCTACATAAGCACCACAAAGTTCATTTCTTATGGCCTCTGCATTTTTCCTGTTATCACAGGCAACTGACAAAAAGGCCAGTTTCAACTTATCTGTCTACAGTGCACAACCTCGTCCACAGTTTTACCTGAATCTTATCAACTGAGGTTGTTAGAATTCTACCTAGTAATTCATAATCCTGTTTCAGGTACAGAATCATTGCAAAAATGATTCTCATCCCACAGGAGTGAGATCACCAAAATCTTTATAAGCTGCTGTATATTGTCAAAAATTCATTCAAGTAATTCCAATATGCCTCTCTGGAAAGAAAAACTCACATCTTCATTAAGAATTGAAGTTTACTTTAATTGAAGTCTACTATGAAGTTTCTTACTACACTACTCTAAAAGTTCTAATCCTTCCATCATTCCTAGATTATCAGTTTTTCTCTGAAACATTTTGTTAGCATACTTATAAAAGTTCTATCCCAGCTTATAGGGAATTCATTTTGTACATGGACAACCCCATATGTAATAAAATTACCATATAACTAGTATAACTAATTTTTAAATAAAAATCATTTCAGTAATCCCATATGGATAAAAAACAAAACAGCTTTCATATGCCTCTTTTCTTTCTGAATCCACCTGCATTGAATTTGAAACTTTCAGTACTAAGACTCTGTACTGAGTGCCAGGTAGAAGTCAATGGACAGCAAAGGGCCAAATGAGAAAAAGAAAAACCATGAAGACTATAGAAGACCCAATCATGGTAAATGCATGTGTCTGGGTTAGCACAAAGAGAATTATGTGAAATTGTTTCTACTAAATTGAGTCACCTATGATAACAGTCCCTTATCAAAGAGGACATGTGTTGGTACCAAAATGAAAATAGAGGAAGTTCTTTAGGTTGTAAAGGAATATTAACAAAGTGTTCACCATGTTTAATTTATGTCACTGATGGAACTCACACAGACCTATTTATATCCTTTGAGGTTTGCTATTGACAAGGAAGGTAATAAACCTTGACATCACCTTTTTTCCCACCTTTTTATTAATGAAAATTTGAGAAGGATGCCAAGGAATTTAATATGGCCCAAAGTAAAAAAAAAAAAATTAAGTTTATTTCAAAGCTTCTCTTTGACATTTAGCTAACTAAAGGTGTCAACAGGAGTACATGCATATGTGTCTGGCAGATCAATGAAGGGGGGCTGTGAGACCCCAAAACCTAGCCATCATCTGCAAACAGAAGATGGATGTCAGAGATTTTTTTGCATGATAATAGAAAACATTGTTTTCAAAGTGGAGACAATGGATAAAAGAATCTATACAGAATACGGTGTGTTTAGAAAATGTTTCTCCTCCTCCCCCCCCCCCCAAAAAAAAGAAGGGAAAGAAAATCTTTCTCTTATTTTGGAGTAAGGCTGAATTGCTTCTAAGAATTATTATTTGTCTTTAAGAGATGAGTATGCTTGCATACTGCATGATTCCACTTACACAATACTCTCAAAAGAACAGAATTGTGATGGGGAATCAGTCCAGAGTTGCTAAGGACAGTATTTCGAGGAAAGTGTGACTGCAAAGTGGAAGCAAAGCGAGCTTCTTTGGCGTGCTGAAAGGTTTGTGTCCTGATTGTGGTGGTGGAGGCACAAACCCATACATGAGATCAAATTTTGTAGAACTGTTTACACTTTTTAAAATGTAAATAAGAACTGAAAGTGAAAGTGTTAGTTGCTCTGTCATGTCTGATTCTTTGCACGACCCCATGGATAGTACCCCAACAGGCTCCTCTGTCCATGGGATTCTCCAGGCAAGGATACTGGAGTAGGTTGTCGTTCCTTTCTCCAGGGCGTCTTCCCGACCCGGAGATGGAACTCAGGTCCCCTGCACTACAGGCAGATTCTTTACCGCCTGAGCCACCAGGGTGAAGTCCAGATAAAGTCCGTAGTTGAATCAGTAATTTTATCAGTTTCCTGTGTTTGATAGTTATTCTATGATTTGTAAGTTATTATCATTAGGAGAATCTGGGTGAAGGATATATGGGAACTCTATTTTCTGCTTTTGCAAATTCTATGTGAGTCTAAGATTTTTTTTAAGAAAGATTAAAAGAGTCTAAACTAAAAATATATAGGAATTCCTAGTAGATTCTTGCAAATTTTCTGTCAGTTCTAAATTATATCAAAATGTAAAAGTTAACATAAAGGATGTTGGCTTGCTTATAACCTCTACAGAATCAGGCTCTGGGACATGCAGCCAGACATAAAGCCCAAAAAATGCCACAGATGGTCCAAGACATCACTGTTCATCACTGTACATGACTCTTGACACTTCCAAGATTGCCACCACAAACACTGCACACCCGCCACCGCCATAAGCACCACTGACAGTTTCCTTTGGGATCTGCCTCCACAGATCTGTAACTGCCTCCGCAGCTCCCCAGAAGAGCTTCTGAGTAACACTTCTTCACAGAAGCAGTTCCTGACTCAGTTGGTGTATGTGATGGATGAAGCCAAGGGCACGTCATAGAGCCCTAACTGCAAAGGATGATGGGAATGTGATTATCTTAGCATACTTCCATGGAGAGAAGCAGGTTCTGTCTCCAAGCGTGTGTGATTCTTCAAACATAGAAAGGAGATTCCAAGACTTGGTTATCCAAAAAATGACAAAGACCTATTACAAATAATAAATGGAAGCATGGACTTTCGCACATCCTTCTGCTAAGACCAGCTGATTCAAATTCTTAGCCCTACTGAGAAGTAACCAATGATGTTCAGGGTAACCAATGATGCCAGGAGCCTAGGAAATAACAAGAGGCAATGGTCTCTCAACTAAGGGCTGGATGTGGAACAAATCTCTTTTCTTTCCTAAATATATTTGGGGAGGCAGCTGATTCTTAACAGGGACACAGGGGTTATTTGTGTGTATAATGAATATGTGTTTAATATGCTGAATAGGAAAAGTTATTTTCTCACCCTTAAATAAATCCAGGGCTTCCCAGGTATGGTAGTAGTAAAAAATTTGCCTGCCAATGCAGGGGATGCAGGAGACAGGGGTTCAGTCCCTGGGTCAGGAAGATCCCCTGGAGGAGGGATGGCAATCAGCTCCACTATTTTTGCCTAGAAAGTTCCACGGGCAGTCGCAGGGCGCCCAGCGCAGTCAGCTGACGCTGCGTCATGGAGGTCACGTGACGCTGGGAGGGGCGACGGGCGCAAGCGCAGATCGTGCGCGTCTGGACCAGCTGACCCGAGGGGTAGATTCGGCTGAGCAGGCCGTCGTCTGCCGCCTCGGAGTCGCCTCCCCTGGCGCCGTCGCCATAGCCATGGCCAGTCAGTCGCAGGGCATCCAGCAGCTGCTCCAGGCGGAGAAACAGGCCGCCGAGAAGGCGTCCGAGGCCCGCAAGCGAAAGAACCGGAGGTTGAAGCAGGCCAAGGAAGAAGCCCAGGCTGAAATTGAACAGTACCGCCTGCAGAGGGAGAAGGAGTTCAAGGCCAAGGAAGCTGCGGCTCTGGGATCCCATGGCAGCTGCAGCACTGAAGTAGAGAAGGACACCCAGGAGAAGATGGCCATCCTTCAGACCTACTTCCGGCAGAATAGGGATGAAGTCTTGGATAACCTCTTGGCCTTTGTCTGCGACATCCGGCCAGAAATCCATGAGAACTACCGCATAAATGGATAGAGGGAGAAGAAAAGTGCCTGTTCCGTGGATTGGCGTTTTGAATGCCTTCATGGAACGTGAGGTTTCATTTAGCAAGGCTTGAGTTATATCTTATGAAAAGGCATTAAATTATTTCTGTACATTATATAGTAGGTCCCTTCACTTTTTGCGGAATCGAAAACATAGATTCTTTGTACAGGCTTAGAGCTTATCCAAAGATTGTATCTTTTTACCTCATATTTCTTAGAAATTTAGTGGATATATGTTGTGTGTTTTCTATGCCTTTTCACTCAAGCAGCATATTATCAACACTGACTTTTTCTTTCTTAGATAGTTTTTAAAAACCCGATTTTCTTAAGAAAGAAAGGGATTAAAATTTTTTTTTCCCTAAATCTTTCTTGAAGGTCAGGGGCTTTATCTATGAAAAAGTAGTAAATAGTTATTTGTCACCCACATGAAACAGCAGTCAGCCTTAAAATAGTCCTTTCCAGCCAAGGATTAGAATAATGGGTCCTAATGTTGGGCTGCTCTTAGTTTCTCTTATCCAAACTTACTAGATGGTAGAGTTCACTAGCTTGTTACATGTTACTACTTGGTGTACTGATATTGTACTGATAATCACTGAAAAGTAAAGACTGTTGCGTTCCCTCCAAAAAAAAAAAGTTCGTTCCATGGGCAGAGGAGCATGACGGACCACAGCCCATGAGGTCGCAGAGTCGGACACAACTAAGCAACTGAGCGCGCACTCATGCGTGAGCGACTGATCACAGGGCAAATAAAGACAACTTTCATATCTCCAGCACAGAAGGTCAGACTTCATCTAACATTTGTCTTTTGCTGCTTGGATAATTAGTAACAAGTATACTCAAGAAATGGTAAGAAACAAGATCACTAGAACTTAAGATGTGAGACAAAAAGAAACAGCTTACCTAAGAAACTAAGACTTAAAGGGGCAATGCATAATATCCGTAATGGTAGCACTGTGTGGCAAAATTGAAGGAATAGTGTTTGTTTTGCAAATACAAATGGGCTATATGAAAATTATTCATGCTTAATGTCATCGAAACACCCTTGGTCCCTAATACAGATATGACCTCACTGAATGCAAATCCCATAATACTGGAGTATTCAGCAATGAATATACTGTCATTGATCTTTCTTAATTATTTTAGGCAAAATAATTAAGATTATTATTTTAATTATTAAAATAATAATTTCATTATTATTTTAGGCAAATGGTCTTAATTATTTTAGGCAAATGAGTTAATTTTACCAAGATGGTGATAAATCATTACTGCCATGCATTATCAAATAATTAATATTTTAAAATAAATATTATGTCTCAATTTGTTTTTTCCTTCTTGGACTAAAGATAGTATCCCACTGAGAAACTACCTAAGGGGAATTTTGACTCTGAGTGCTTCTATCGAGAACATATTTAAATAATACACAAGTCAACTTTCCAATTAATTTACTGTTATAGTGCTATCCAGATACACTTTATCTTTTAGAATTTTCCAAGAATATTTGCCATAGGTATTTGACTCTGCAATTTCTTTTAAAAGTAAGTTCTGTTATTGTTAGTGGATCCCAAGGAGAAATAAACTACTATTTAAATTACAGAACTTTTTAGGCAGCACATAAATCATTGGATTTGCAAGGTACTTGGATTACTTTTTATTTAATAGCCTAAATGAGAATATTTCATTACTTCCTGAAAAGAATATTAAAGCTACACAAACTTAAAATTATTTAATTTGGGGGGGGGGGGTGATGCTTGCCAGTTGCCATAAATATCAGGTTTCTGTGCAGCCTGAATACAAAATCAGGAGGTTTAAATGAGAAGGTGGAGGTGTTGCTGAGGAAAAGCTCATGGCTAAATATAGGACAGGTGGACAGCCAGTGGAAGAATCTGGAATGGGAGTCTGTGATAAACCACACTTGCAAGGCATCCTGGGTCTCCCAGCTAGGCAGCAGAAGAGAAGGAAGGATCCAGGGTTGGGTGATGGATTAAAGAACTATTAATAATTCAGTGAGTAAGCTGCTTTCCCTGGAGAGCAGGTATGTACCGAAAAGTCTTAATCTCCAAGACTGGAAGCAAGAACTCACTTGATTCTAATGTGGAAGGAGAAAGAACATGACAACAGGATGCTCTAAAAAAATCTCTAGATCCTAAGCCTTGGAGAGTTTCTCAGATATTCCTAGAGATGTATCTAGAGATATTTAACCAGAAGCTTGAGGTCCTAGGAACGAAGTTCCCTTCTTGAGCAGACAGAGGGCAAGCTTATTAGCCAACAGAACTTAGGCTGAAGGTTGGACTCCGGTCTCAGTGACAAACTATACTGAAACCCAATAGCAAGGCTGTTAATAAATAGAGAAATCATATTTGAACGGAGATCACACATCTGTTAAATAGAATGCCTCAATTTTACATTATTTTTTTCTGTTCTTATTTTTTTACCTAATTATCTGAAAGCAAATACCAAAGCCTGACAATGTCTATATATGGGGCAAAGGGTCAACGTGATGTTTTTCCATGTTTTTTCTTTCTATCAGCTATCTTGTATTTAAGGAGAAAATTGCAAATGTTTGAAATAAATAAGCTCTAAAAAGAAAACCAATAATGATAATTGGGTCCAAATACCAGCAGCTCCCTGATGCTGGGAAAGATCAAAGGAAGGAGGAGAAGGGGACGACAGAGGACGAGATGGTTGGATGGCATCACTGACTCAATGGACATGAGTCTGAGCAAACTCTGGGAGACGGTGAAGGACAGAAAAGCCTAGCGTGTTGCAGTCCATGTGGTTGCAAAGAGTCGGACACAACTGAGTGACTGAACCACACAGCAGCTCAGACACACAAGTGCAGAGAAAGAAAGCAGGAGTGATGAAGAGACCAACTGGATCTCAGATGGATACTCGGAGGCTCGCTCCAAAGTATACCAGGCATAAAATTCTAGATTTGTATATGCCACCAGGCCTGGTTCTTATTGACTCATGAACTGACTGATTTTCGTTGCTACTAAAAAAGGCAGGGATTCATGATATAGTTTTATTATTTAGTAATTCATATTAATTATTAGAGCATTTGAAAACTACACAAAAACATACAAAGAAAATAAATACCCCATAATTCTGCAACTCAGAGATGAAACCAACACCATTAAACTCTGGTATTTATTCTTTTAATGTCTTAATATTCTACATGCACACATACACAGATCTCATTATTGCAAAAATAGGAAAATCCATTCCATACTCTTTGTCAAATGATGACATTGTTGTGATTGTGTATTTAGTTGTCTTTCCTACTAAGGAGGCAGGAAAAATATCTTGCTTACCATCCATCGGTTTCCTACTTCCAAGCATAATACCTAGCACAGGAAGATAGAAATAATGCCTATATCTAAGTTTTTTAATTAATATGCCAAATTGCCCCGTGGCAGTTGTACCAACTTTAAAACCCACAAGCAATTACGTGAAATTCATTTCCCTTTCCGTCCTTCACAAAACTGCATCTTAGGACTTTTTAGAATCTTTGCCATATTGATGGGATAAATTTGTCACTCATTTTTCTGTATTGCTAAGCTATTAAGCTTGACTAATTTTCATAAGAGTCATTGAAATTTGCTAAATAAACATTACCCCTTCAATGATTTTGCCTTGATTCTGCCTTTGCCAGTATTGCTTATTGCCTCTTTAAAAGCTGAGTTAATGGTTTTATTTGTCCCTCTGTCAGCATCTCCTAAAAATAACGAGGCTTTTCAGGTAGCACCACTTTTTTTGTTCATTTCAGTCCAATGCTAGGACGGGGCATTGTGTATGTTGGGCATCTAATCTGTGTGCTGTGCTGGGGAATCCTTCTGACCCCTGGAGTAAATAAAAGCAGAGATGAAGGCAGCATTTTGGATAGGAAAATCATGAGTATTGGTAACAGCCAGAAAAGGATTCAAATCCTGGCTTCTCTGCTGATTCACTGAGTGACCTTAAACAAGGCAACTCAGGACCTGCCTGGTGGCCCAGTGGTTAAGACTCCGTACTCCCATTGTCGGGGGCAGAGGCTCAATCCCTAGTAAGGGAAGTGAGATCCCAGAGGCCACATGGTGGGGCCACAGGCAAAAACAAGACAAACAAAAAAACAAGGCAACTCCCATGACCCTCAAGTTCTCACTTAGGAGAGATAATGCCAATGTGTCTTGCATTGGTGGCTACAAGGATCAAATGATATAAAATATGTATAAGCACAATATAAATGTAGGCTATTGCTATTCTTGCTACTCCTTTCTTTGAGAATAAATATTACATCCATCACCTGTTTTGAGGCAAATTGGCAAAGACAGCTTTCTTGTCAAGGCTAAAAATAAAACACAAGAGAGACTTGGTGTTGCCTGGGAGAACATATATGGCTATTGAAGTTTGCACTTTCCCAGGAAGCTAATAAAGCGAAATAAGAACTTATTCCACTGACACCTTAATGTCATTCTCAGTCATAACCCAATTTGCTGCACTTGTCTTCCTACAGAAGTGGAAATTTGTGCTGCAAAGAGAAGCACATTCAACTCCTTCTCGAGGGTTATTGGAACACGGTGGCGGGGGGTGGGGGGGTGCTCATTTACTGACAAGGAAAAGAAACCAAGGGCTGAAGAAAGGAAGTACAGGGAAAGAATCCTAAATGAGCTGGAGTAATTCCGAGCCTGGTTTTCCCATCTAAAATTTGAGAGCAAAAAAATAAATTAAAAAATATATATATATCTTATATCCAGTCTTCCTCTACAGGCTAATTAAGACACGTGCCATTAACAAAGATCCTTACCCTCGGCTTCCTTGTCATTCAGGGATATTTCTAATTATTTCAGTCAGTAGTGCATTTCTCAAAATGTTTGCAACCAGATTATGATTATTTCATATTCACTTCAAAATAATTAGATATGTGTCTTACCTGAGGAAATAAGATTATTCTGAAGTCATTCGGTGGTATGCATTTCTCCTTATTCAAGACAGGGGGAATCACTCCAAAAAAATTTCAGACAAGAGTCAGTAAGGACAAGAGGTCATGTCCCAGAGGTAAATACAGAGGTCAAAACCAAAATATGTAAGTGGAAAATGTGGCAATCGTTACAGAGAAGCAGACAGAAGGAGGAACCAA